AGTGCACTTGTGGGCCACCGCAGATGTACCTTGGAGATAACTGGAAAAGGGAGGATAAATCCATTTTTTTGCTATATAAATTAAGTCTCCACCCAAATTGGATGTCTTTAAAATCTATTACATTAATTTTCAGGTGGAAAAGGATTGCAATGATCTTGGTAAGTACCATGATGAATTTGAATTGATTTCTTTAGTTTTTGAATACAACATAAATGGTAGAGTGTAAGTATTGTAAGTAAATGTACTGGAAAGTGAGTTTAAACGCTGTTTTAAATGAAATTATTGTGCCTTTCCAGAGGGCTCTGGTTTAACTAATATCGATATAGATGGTTTTGGTCAAAAAGAAGTTTATTGTGACAACGGATGGGTTGTTGTGATGAGACGATACAACAGCACGATGTCCTTCCACAGAAATTGGAATGCATATAAAGTTGGTTTCGGTGACCCACGTGAGCAGTTTTGGATTGGAAACGATGCTCTCTACGCGTTAACCAATCAAGGGGATTACTCAATGCAGATTGACATGCTGTCTTGTGATGGAAACACCTACTACGTCAGATGGAACCTGTTTCGCATCCAAGATGAAAGCCAGAAATATAAGGTTGCTGCTATTAGTGTCGACTCCTACAACACTTCTAGCAATAGTTATCTAACAGAAAATGTAAACTGGAAATTCGGAACTTATGATAATGACGAAGGCCACTCACGGAATTGCAGTGATGATCACGGTATGATTTTATAACACTAAATGCACATTTTGTATAAAGTTAAAGTTGATATCAACTAAGATCATCTATATTTTAGCGCAGAGTGTATCAAGTCATACGTCAGTCTCCTGTTCCTCTTTTTTCTTTTTCACCCAGATTATCCTTTTTTTTTTTTACTTTTTTAGTTCTAAATGCTGTAACTCTATTACAAAACTTTACAAAAAAAAGGGGAAAAAACAAATGCAGAATCTTTAAAATGATATCATTCCTGACATGTAGCGTATACGGCGATTTCAGGCAAAAGCATAAGTACAATAAATCGTTTTGGTTACCCTTAAATTCTGCTCCTCTTCCACACAGTCGATAAAGCGTTTAACTTTTGTGCTTTTGGCGAGTGTAAGAAATAGTTTTGTCCATCATTGTTGGAAAGAAAACTCTACGTGTTATTTAACAGGGGCGGATCCATATATATTTTCTGACAGTCATCCAAATTATCTTTGTTGATCCATCCCCTATTTTTGACCGTCTTCCAACAGAAAAAAATAGATACCCGTCAGTATAAAATTGAAAATATGACCGTCTTCCAGAAGACCCAGAAGACGGTCTAAATCCGCACCTGCGTGTATTACTAGGAATTCCACTTTTAATCATTTCCTTTTTTTAGAAAGAAAACAACATCAAATTTTCTGGTGAAAGGGCAAATGTAACTTATACACCAAAGTTACTATACACTTTGCCCAATGAAACAAAAAAAATTACTGATGGGGCACATAATGGCGTTAACGGGGGGATGACGTAAAAGTCATGTGCAAAGTGCCCTGAGTGGCAGGGCACTGTAAAGCTAGCTTGCTCACTATACCTTTTCATATGTTGGCTTTACGGTATTGCTAATATGGCTTATATATGAAATCAAGATCATGCTGGCAATACCGAAATCTAGAACTTAGGGTAGTGCAAAGATGAGAAATGTTAGGTTCTTTTGCGTGCAGGATTCAGACACAGAAAATTTTCTCTGATTTCTCTGAAATATTGGTCGTTCTAGGCATTCGAGTGGCATTCTGACCTGTTAGGTTCTTTTGCGTGCAGGATTCAGACACAGAAAATTTTTCTCTGATTTTGGCAGGGAGTTTTTATCTATTGTTTTTCCTGGGCGGAATAGATCCGTTTGTATCAAATTTGTGTTGCGTTTATAGGTTGGCAACATAGAAGTGTTTAGCAATAAGGTTTCGTTTTGTTTTGTATAAAGTAAGCTGCAATTAACTACTAAATAAAACAGTGGCATCCTTCTATAAGTTCTCAAGCCAAAATCATTTTTGATTTTTTTGATAACCGTGAAAGAGTTTTGCAAAGAAGTACAGATGGCTTATTCATTTCAGGCGGCGGGTGGTGGTATACGGACTGCACGAGGTGGCATTTAACAGGCTACTACCCCAGCTGTGCCGGCAACAGCAACAACCACAGAACCATGAAGTTTGCCTCTATCACTGGGAATAACTGCAACAACGGATGCTTATTACAGGCTGCTACTTTGAAAATCCAGCGTAACACTTAGACCTCTTCTGCTGATAATTTTGATATCAAATACCGTCTCCGTAGAACACAGGGACCTTTAGAATAATTTGAGGGAATGAATGAACGAATTTATTTCAGATTTTTTGGAACTTACATTAAAGAAAGTGCTTTAATTTGAAACACACACGCAAGTCAAAATAAGTAAAAAAATTACTGTGATAACTCACGTGGTCCAGCGAAGATCTTCTCTATAATCGTCGCTATCCGTGAAATATTGTAGAAAAGCGATGAAAAGAGTAGAAAGACAACGGCAGCTATGTCAGCTGCTGATATCACGGGCGATTTACTTACATTGTTAACATTTAAACGCAATGAATGTGTATACCGTTACCTCTAAATGTTCCTAGAGCAAAACAAAGAATAAACTATAAACGGAAATTTACTACTCTATCAAGTACAAACAGAGATACCCTCTCCAAGGAACCGGATTGATTTTCACTACAATTTCACAGATTTGTCTATTGTTAATTCACGAAGATCATACATGTATATTAAATCTGCAGCCCAGATAGAGGACTTGCATTGTGAAAATTGGGGATTTTATCTTAAAATAAAGGTCTTAGCTTTTTTTTTATTCCTGTAACATTCCTTTAATGTATCTTCAAAACATCTACTTATGCTTGAAACGCAGCCCCAACTTCATCGTGTTACGTTATATTGGGATTTTGGGACAAAAACACCATTTTCATTTCCACTAGCGGCAATTGCCGGTGACAGTTAACTTACCGACGTCTGATCTCGGACGCCGACCTCGACAGTGCCGACAATCGTCTTCATCGACACGAACACTGTTTGCTATCTGGGTTCATTGAACATTTACTCTCCAACTTTCATGTCGTATTGACTTATATTGAATGGGTAGCGCACCAAATTGTACACATTTGATGGTTTTTCAGTGATTCCCTCTTCTTAGGGGCTTGCTAAAACTAAACCGTCCCATTGTGCCATTTAACGTTATAAATGAAAGCAGACTAAATCTTGGCTTAAAAAAAGTCATAGTAAATTAAATAAATAAACTATCTTCGAACGCTCCATGGCGGTTTCGATTGTATAGGCCTATTGCAAGTGCATCCAAACTGGCCCTTTCCGTGACTAGGTAGAAAGTTTGCATTTGATCCGTAAGTTACCAACGAAGCTCCGCGGCTCCGTAGTAACTCCGTTGGCTTGGACGGGAGACTAGAACACGGGTTCGAATTCTAGATGGTTCTGAGTAATTCCTTTTTGCATGAAATAATTTCTAAATATTGCATTCATACGGAGGGTGGGCGGGTCAGTCACGAAGACTGTTCATATGTTCATACAGTATCCGGGGCAACTCTACAGCCAGCATTTGAAATGGCAAAGACTACTCAAAACTAAAACCGCAAAAGTGAAAAGAAATGAGAAAATAATAAAAAAAAAGGGATAAAAGTACGGGCCGAGCAATGATTGAAGAGATTTGCTTATTTCCCGCAAGGTAAATTCAGTTTATTGAGTAAATCTAGCATAAATCACCTTTCAGCAATAAGGACTAAAAAAAAAAAAAAAAAAAAAAAAAAAGAAAAGAAAAGAAAAAAAAAAGCTGAACTCAATAGGAAAATGGGGCTGACAGAGTGCAGTACCGGTAAGGTTTAGGAGGGTAACTGGCGTAGCTCTTGCGGTCTTGGAGGAGAAAAAAGTTACATTGTTTACGAATCAGTGGGTCACGGCACGAGCAAGGGTCGTGGGTCACGGGGTTGTAATTCGATTGTGTAAGGCTGCATGTGCATGAATACTTTAATGTGAGGAGATTTGTCTGTCTTTGGATTTTTAAACCCAGTAGTGTCTTTACAGAACTAAGCAGTTGTGAATCTGCCGATACAAGAAAGGTAAAATGATGACTGAATAATTTGAAATGGATCGAGACATTTGACAGGTGGTTTCCGCAAGTGTACTCGAATATTTTAAGTACTATTTTAATATTTTAGTATAGAAACTTACAGAGTAATCAAGTAATTTAGACAGTGTGGGCTCAGGGCTCATTGCTTGCCTTTGTGACAGGGATAGAAGCCCTAAGAATGAAAATTTGGGATGCCAGTATGATAAGTACATGTACATGTCACTACAGGTTTGTGTTGGTCGGAGCATTGGGGTTAATATATGGGACGAATGTCAACACCTGCACAAGGTAATGGGGAATTCAACAGACCACGGTTCTTAGCTATGGGGGACTACCATTCCTGTCACGCTGGTATTAATTATATTATTGTAATGTTCTCCTGTGTCGCGTATTGGTCCTATACTGCACAATGTTAGTCCAGTATTAACAAAATGGATACTTTAAATGTACTGAGTACAGCAATGACAGTCTTTTCTGTGCGGAAAAGTTATCACCATTTCAGATACATAATTTTGAAATCATTAAAAACATTTTTATTAGAGCACTTTTGGGGCTTCAACTGAATAGAACTATTATACAATGTATAGGGTAGCCTGCTTCTCGTTTTTGTTGCTATTGACCCATTAGAGCCTGCGTCATCAAAACAAACGGCAGCCATTCTGGAGGGAGACCGGAATCGTCTGCTGCGCATGAACAAGCCATGCCTGCAGTTCAGTTTTCGTTTTCTGTATTTTCTTTGATATTTAACCGAGCAAAATGATGAATTACTGCAGGTTATTTGATCGAGAGAAGATAACTAACTTTACAAGCGTTCACAGGCTGCCTGCAGTGGTAACAATCCATGGTGAAGGAACTAAGACCATAAACGGAGGAGAGACGGCGAGGTGGCTTTGAATCAAGACTCTTCGGAAAAGTAAAGGATAAAACTAATTTATTTTATAGCAAAGAATGGAGAGCCAGCTGTGCAGATTTTACCATAAAAGAAAAAACAGTAGAAAACCAAAGACCTAGGTGTGTACATTTGGGGCGCACGTACAGTACACTACATATATATTTAAAGTAGTGCCCAAAAAGTTTGGGTGGAGAGTGTGTTAATTTGTTAAAACGTGTGGAAATACCCAGGCAGGGTTTCGACTTTTATAATGAAGACTCACCTATTGCCTTGGGTGTAATTTGTTATCAGTTACGGTGCTCTCTAGATTTTATCGGCTGTCACCTACCTG